GAAGGGATAGGACTTGAGTCCTAAAATTTGATATTGAGGTCTTTGTTGATATCTGGGATTGAGATATGAAAGTGGTTTTGAAAATGTGTGCTATAATTGTACGAAATTGTACAATGGTTTGGGTAAAGGGATACAGCTGAAATTCCATAATTTGATATTGAGGTCTCTGTTGTTATCTGGAACTGAGATATGGAGGTAGTTTTGGAAATGTATACTATGTATGGTGGAGTGTATAAAAATACCATAATTTAAGTGCGCGAAGAAATTAAATGTTTACCATAATTATGAGAAAAACTCAGTAGATTGGCTATAAATCTTGAGATAAACGACATGAAATTAATTAATTAAAAACACATTTTAGGGTTATAGTGATGAGTTTCAGCTTAAGAAAAATCCCCTACAAAATATTATTAAAAAACCAGTAGAGAAAGTCTTAAAGTCGGGCGGGGCCGACCCTACACCACTTTGCTAATCTAGTAGAGCTCCGCATAACAATTAAAAGTTTTTATGGGAGAATTCAATCATACACGCTAATAAAAACACAAATATGCCGAAGCATTTGTATCTTTTAAATTCGGACTTGTATTGCCCATTTGGTGCACAATTAATTTGAAATCGGATACAAATTTATATGGGAGCTATATCCAAATCGGAACCGATCTCGATAAAATTTGGCAAAGATATTTCTGAGCTGTATTTCCTATATTTCCCTGAATATCGTTGTTACGGAGTGCATATTACGGCTGTGGATAACAAATATAACAAATCGGATGAACATTATATATGGGAGCTATAGCTATATCTGAACCGATCTTCACCAAATTTGACATATTAGCTTCTAAACTCAATTCGGTCGTAAGTGCCAAATTCCATCCCATTTGGACAAATATTAGACGTTTGGTGCACAATAAAAAGTAAATCGGACGAAGTTATATATGGGAACAATATCCAAATCTGAACCGATCTCGATAAAATTTAGCAAATGTATTTCTGAGCTGTATTTGATATATTTCCCCAAATAACAAATCGGATAAACAATATATGTGGGAGCTATAGCTATATCTAAACCGATTTCGATCAAATTTGGCATACTTATTTTCAGGCCTAATTTGGTTTTATGTGCAAAATTCCATACTATTTGGGTTGATATTACACGTTTGGTGCACAATAAAAGGCAAATCGGACGAAGATATATATGGGAGCTATATCTACATTTTGACCGATTATCTCCAATTTCAATAGGGTTCGTCCTTGGGCCAAACAAATGATTTGTGCAAGATTTCATCTGGATAGGTCAATAAATGCGAACTGTACTTTGTTTACAAAAATACATGGACAGACGGACGGACGGACATGCATAAATCGACTCAGAATGTGATTCTATGCAGATCATCAAAAGGAACTATGGGTCTTTCTCGTTTCCTTTTGCCTGTTACAAACAAATGCATAAAGACATAATACCCTACCCACCTTGTGGTGTAGGGTATAAACATTAAGTTCGGCTGGGCCGAACTTTTAATACCCTCCGCCATAGAGTAAAGGAAACATTAGAAACCATTATGACCCACTAATACCAATTTTTAGACATACTCGTGGGAAAATGTGGCAAAAATCATCAAAATGCCGAATATCGGGTCCGCAACATAGGGCTTTACAAAAACGTGGACCTATACATACAATGTTTCGCCAACGGAGCTAGAACCCACTAGGACCCACTAATACCAATTTTTAGACAAATCCGCGAAGAAATGTGGCAAAAATCATCAAAATACCGAATGTTGGGAGGTATCGTTATATGGGAGCTATACCAAAATGTGGACCTATACATACAATGTTTCGCCACCGAAGCTAGAACCCATTATGATCAACAAATATCAACTTTTACAGAAATCCGTGAAAAAATGTGATAAAATCCATCATAATACGAAATATCGGGAGGTACCGTTATATGGGAGCTATACCAAAACGTGGATCTATACGTTCAATGTTTCGCCGCACGAACTAGGACCCATTATGACCTACAAATAACAATTTTCAGACAAATCCGTGAAAAATGTGACAAAAATCATCAAAACACAGAGGTACCGTTATATGGGGGCTATACGAAGACGTGGACTTGCACAGACAATTTTCTGTCTTAGGCTGTAGTATCCATTACGAACTTCAAATACTAAATTTGGAACAATTCCGGCGAATAATGTCGCTAAAATCATGAAAATACCGAATATCGGGAGGTACCGTTATATGGGGGCTATACGAAGACGTGGCCCATTTTCAATACCAAAAGTCCTGCAGAGTTAAATGTTATCAATCCACTACAATTCGTTCGGTAGCTAGAGTGATTTCCACAGACGGAAATACATCGCTAAATCGACATAGAATTTTATGCTGATCAAGAATATATATACTTTGTGGGGTCTAAAATGTATATTTCGAGGTGTTACAAAAGGAATGACAAACCTAATACACCCTTCATACTATCGTGGAGGGTATAAAAATAAATAAACCTTGTATTGTTATCAGTAAATTTATCAAATACACTATACACCTATGGCGCAAGAATTTCAACAAATCGTAAGCCAAAAATTTCGAAAAATAAAGAAGTAAGGGGTACTTGGCCCGATTACTTGGACTACTTGCGATGTAAACTTTCAAAGCGCCAATACACGTGACTTTTATCTTAAGCTCTACTTTCATAGTCTACTGAGTATTTTTTTTTAATGCGTGAATTTCAAAATAAAACCCACTTAGACAATTACTTTTGTTATGAAACTGTTTCCCATAAATATTTATAAATTTCATATAATATTTATAAAAATACAAAGAGAAGTTGTAAAAAAATACAAAATATTTTGAATGCAGTTACAGTTAAATTTACTATAAATATATTACGATAAATATTTTACAATAAGGTAAAAATTGTTAACATAATAGTGCACAATTTGTTTAATGTCAATGTATTTCGAAATATTGAAGAAAAAATCGAAAAAATATGGTAAAACTCCTTAAAATGCAAAAAATTAAAACGTGTATGGCAATTTACAGAAAGCGAATGGGACATCCCATTTCGTTCAAATCGTAATATTCGTAATATTTTTAATAGGCCGAGGTTAGGTTCAAATACAGGATAAGATGAAAAAACTGCAACCACCTTCAAACTGCTGCCATTTCTAAGCCACTCGTCCGACAGTTGTTAAAATTATTCAAGTGACAGCACATTATATTGTTTACAAACGTACAAAAGAATTTTGGTGAGCATTTTCTAGAAAAAAAGTTATTCGTGATGGAATTCAAGCGTGATAGTGTGATTTCTTTATATTTAGCTGGAAAACCACAAGTGGCTATCATTAGAGCACTCCAGCATTTAAATGCGAATAAATCTTTTGTGTCTCGTACCATCGCTCGTTACCGTGATACTGGTAGCGTAGCCCGACGTCAAGGAAGTGGACAGAAGAAAACAGCAACATCAGCAGAAATGGTTTGAAAAGTAAAGAAGCGACTTGATCGAAACCCGCGTCGCAGTGGCCTAAAAATGGCTCGTGAGCTGAATATATCGCAATATTCCATTCGGCAAATATTGAAAAATGAGCTCGGGGTAAAGCCTTTGAAACTCCAAAAGGAGCAAGAACTTACAACGCGACAGAAAGAAAATAGACTCTAAAGAGCTAAAGAGTTACTTCGCTTGGCCGAAAGTGGTGAACTGCCCAATTTGGTTTTCTCCGATGAGAAAACATTCGTTGTCCAGCAGTTTGTAAACAAAGAAAATGAACACGATCATTGCCAAAGAGGTCAGTCAGCTGAAAATGTGCACCTTCGGTTGGCCATCAGAACTCTAGCGCCGGCCATGGTGATGGTGTAGACCGCCATAACAGCCGATGATCGCTCTCCGCTCGTATTAATCGACATTGACATCAGAATAAATGCCGAATATTATAGCGAAAATATTCTGGAGGATGTATTAAAGCCTTGGGCACGCAAACATTTTAGCCGCAGACCTTGGACATTCCAAAATGACTCAGCACCATCGCACTCAGCACGCACCACCCAAGAATGGTTACAAAATGAGGTTCCTCGCTTCATTTCTAGAGCACAATAGCCACCAAAATTTCCGGATACCTATCGGTCTGGACTATTTTGGAAAGCATGGTTGGCACTAAAAATACCAAAGTGTCGATCACCTCAAGTAAGCGCTTCGCCGGGATGGGCCGAAATACCGCAGAGCAACATTCGGGCAGCGTGTGACGGTTTCATTGGCCGTTTGAAGGCCATAATTCGTGCCAAATTTAACGTATTCTAAAATTTTATGTTATTTCCGACATTTTTTGCTTTCATCCACTAATAAACAAACGTTGTTTTTATAAAAACAACAATAAAGGGATAAGCCTGACCATTTTGCAACAACAATATAAAAATTGTGGCGTTTGGCTTTGTTGCAGTTTTTTCATCTCACCCTGTACATTATACACCTAGGGTGTAAGGATTTCAACAAATCGTAAACCAAAAATCTCTGAAAATATAGAAGTAAGGGGTACTTGCCATTACTTGGACTACTTGCGATGTAAACTTTCAAAGCGCCAATACACGTGACCTTTATCTTAAGCTCTACTTTCATATTATACTGAGTCTACTACTACTACTGAGTCTACTTTTGTTATGAAACTGTTTCTTATAAATATTTATAAATTGCACATAACAGTGAGTATTACTCTTCCCCTACTTCTTCAAAGGACATCCATTGCCTCCGTTGAATTTAAAATTCCCACCAACTGATTAGAATAACGGAACCTTTTTCTTAATATTCTTATTCGATTACTGAATGAATTCAACGCCTCGAATGCTTTTAAATACTTAAGTGGTAACAAAAAAGCTTTAAAAGCTTCAGTCGAAATATTTTCTGTGAAGGTGTGTGTACGTAAAAGCACCATTAAGTGGACCAGTCCAATTGTCTGATGCTGGCCACGCACAGAAGGTTGCCATAAGTTGCCTGTTTCATTCGGAAGTGTACAGACGTGTAGTTTTTGTAAACGGTACTTTTATGGTGAATATTTGTATACCGCAAAAAAATAAAAAAAATAATATTTCAAGTGGATATGAAAAGCAATGTGTAGATTACTGTAATTTTAAAGAAAAAATTACATAAATTTATAAAAATACAAAAAGTTTACCAAAACCGAAGTTGTAAAAAAATATAAAATATTTTGAATGTTTTAAAGTTTTCACAAATACCTTTATATCACAGTTAAATTTACTGGCTATAAATATTATACTATAAGGTAAAATTGTTAATATAACAGTGCACACATTTTTTAAATCTCAATATATTTCATAATCTCGAACAGAAAAAATCAGAATACCAATATCGGAATACAACTTCATTGGAAAATATGGTAAAAACACCTTAAAATGCAAAATGAATAAAAACTTCAACGGTACCCTTGTGTGGGAACTTAAAGAAAGAAAGTGAAACGTCTCATTTCGTTCAAACTTGGTGCATCGTAATATTTTAGGTTAAAATATATTTTGGTTAAAATATGAATAATATATAATATTAAATGGGAAATGATTTTCCGGTACTCTTCATTCTATTTACATTAAAATATTTTGGTCAGCTTAAATTAGAAGATATATGCGGTGGCGTTCTAAAAATTGGCATCGAATAGAAACTCAAATAGATAGGGCAAGTTTTCTGCAAAAATTTCGAAAATTTTTGGATTAATATTTTGGGCCAGGATTATTACAGTTTTTAAGCAAATAAATATGGAATAAAACTCCATATATCTCAGAATACATCTAAACTAAAAGTCTTACAAAAACGTCAGATTTTATAAATATTCAAACGAATTTTGAGAGATAAACGTCGTAATTTATATAAGCTTGTTGAAAGTTTTCCTAAAAATCACGATTCTAGAAGTATGACGACAGAGACAAATATATTCATCAACAATTTTTTCTGTAAATCACAAAAGAAATTAAATTTTTATTCCAATTATATATCCAGAAAATATTTGTATCCATTTTAATAAATAACAAATAAAATAAGTAAGCAAAGGCTATAGTGGTGCCGGGCCGACCATGTGACACCCTCTAACACTACAATATGTTAGATGCCTTTGTCCAAATCCATTTTAGCACCGGATATTAAACTTAGCTTTTTGATCAAGGATATTTGCCCAATATTTACGCACTCCGTAGTGCTGTTAGTTACAGCTTAATATAATCCAATGGTCATCCAAAATGCTAGACTTTATCGCTGCCCTTAAATCTCTTCTCAGGCAAAATTCTGCGTCGATTGGTTTCTATTGTGTGATCAGGAAAATTTTTCTGATTTGGTTATTTTGGTTATTTTTGCGATCATCTCCAAATGCAAGAAGCCCCTCTGTATCTCCAAATTTAGACCGATCTGTATGATTCGCTTGTCTACGATATTCGTCTACCATTCGTCAACGAAATCAGCATAAATAAGTTAAAAAGCAGTAAGTTCGGGCGGGCTGAACTTTGAATACCCTCCATCCTTTGGAACGAATTTGAAAATTTTCAAAAAATAAAATCCTTAAAAAATTCTGTTAAAATTTTAAAAATACCGAATATAGCCTTTATATTGGGGTCTACACGACGTGGACCTACATAGGCATTGTTTTGCCATAAGCCATTACCATATTCAAATTCGAAACTTGAAATAAACGGTGAATAATGTAGCTAAAATCAAAAAAAAATAAAATCAAAATATCGTATATAGGGAGGTACCGTTATATCGGAGCTGTGCGAAAGCCTGGACCAGCATAGACAATTTTCTCTCGTAGGCTGTAGCACCCATTAAGAACTTCAAATACGACATCTCAAACAATTTCGGTGGATATTGTAACTAAACTCGTCACAATGCTGAATATAGGGAGGCACTGATATATGGAGCCTATACGAAGATCTGGAGCTGCATAGACAATTTTCTGTCACAGGCTATAGTTCCCATTACGAATTCTAAATACGTATTTAGAAACAATTCAGGTAAATAATGACGCTAAAAACATAAAAATGTCGAATATTGGAAGGTACCGTTATATGGGGGCTTTACGAAGACGTGAACCTGCACAGACAATTTTCTGTCATAGACTGTAGTATCCATTACGAACTTCAAATACCAAATGTGAAACAACTCCGTTGAATAATGTCGCTAAAATTATCAAAATACCGAATATCGGGAGGTACCGTTTTATGGGGACTATATGAAAACGTGGACCTACATGGCCCATTTACGAACTTAACCTGCCTACTGGAAAAAAAAATGTGTTCTTTCTCATTTCTATCGAAAGATAGCGTGATTACAAGAGACAGACAGACAGACAGATGGGCATCGCTAGATCGACTTAGAATTTTACGCTGATCAAGAATATATATACTTTGTTGGGTCTGACATGAGGATTTCGAGGAGTTACAAACGGAATGACAAAGTTAATATACCCTCCATAGTATGGTGGAGGGTATAAAAAACCAGAACTTCGCCATTAGTGTATTTTGGATTTCGCGTGTAAGTTATTTTCAGCGTTTGGGTAGAATGGAAATGTTGGTATTTTTTCACAGAAAAGTAGTGGTGCATTCTACTCGTTGTCCTAAACTCTAACTTAATGCGAGATTTTGTGTCCTTTGGTTTCTATTTGTGATCTTTGCAAAATCTGAAACATTTTTAGTTGTTGGTCCATTTCAACCCCTAAATATGTTGCCTACATTTTTAAAAACAATAGGCCTAGCCCTTCTGAGCCTAACCTTACCCTAATGAAAATTTTAGTGAGGATCGGACAATAATTGCAATCTGTATATAAATCTGTATTATAAGGTGATAAAACAAAATGTACACTTCAAAATTAAAAAATTGCATGCGATAAAAAAATATAAAAAAAATAAAAAACATATCACAAAATCCTACAAAATATATAAATATAACATCATTATTGGCATCTTTACATGCAATTTTTTAGATTTCATTTTTTTATGCCAAGAGAGAATTCTAAATTGACAAAATTTGTCAAAATCGGTCCAGCCATTCTTGAGATATAAACATTCTAGCTAACATCCCTTCCTTTGTATATACACATTGTATATATTTCCAATATTTTTACTATATATACCCAATATTTTTACTATCGGCATCTACGTAACGGTCAGAATTGACCTCTTCGTCTATTTGTGATTTCGTCGGGATTAAAAGTATTCGAGGTTCAATGGAAAATTCTACTTTTATTTATCACAAATGTTATGGTCTATTTCACCCACTAAATATTACCCGATGACCATCAAACTTGGAAGACTTCTGCCCAGCCCTAAGCTCTAGCCCCAGGCTAACTTCGATTGGTCTATAATTGTGACCTGTAGAGCAACTACAAAATCAGGAATATTTGTTGTTTTTTGGTCCATTTTAACCCCTAAATATTATGCTATCATCTCTAAAAGCAATAGGCTTCTATTCTGACCCTAAACCCACCTCCATTCAAAATTTCATGAAGATTGGGCCATAATTGCGACCTGTAGAGTGATTACAAATTAACATGGACAGTCGGAGAAACGGACATACATAGCTAGATCGACTCAGCTCGGCGAGACAGGTGTTACATAATTTTTGGCCCAATCGAACTTATAATACCCCCAACACATACTGTTGTAGGGTATAATAATGTGCGATGTATAGTGATTTCAACACTACACTGCAGATGGAAAAAACGACGAACATTGTTAAATCGACTTAGAATTTTTATGCCGATCATGAATTTATATCTTTCATTTGGTCTACGATGAATATTTAGAGGTGTTGCAAACGGAATGAGGAAAGTAATATAACATCCTATTCTCCGCGAAAAAATAATTTTAGACCTAACAAAGATCAGCGTAAAATTATAAGACGATTTAGCCCTGTCCGTACGTCTGATGCATTCAAGCTTGAGTTAAAACGAATAAAGATTTGAAGCTAAATATTTGCACAGATCGGTCTTTTGTCTGCAGGCAGGTCAAGTTAGAAGATCAGTTACATCAGTCCACGTTATCGTATATCCCCCATATAACGGTACTCACGATATTCGGTACTTTGATGCCAAATTTGTCAATGAAATTGTCTGAAAATCCACAAAAGGAGTTCCTTGTGAGTTTTTTTTCCCCTGGGAGAATATTGTCTATATAGGTCCACGATATCATATATCCCCCACATAACGGTAACTCCATATATTCGTTAATTTGATGATTTCAGTTATATTTTTGATGACATTTTCTAAAAATTCATACTAGGAGTTCCTTCTAAACCCTTTACCCCTGGAAGAGAAATATGTATATATAGGTCCAGGATATAGTATAGCCTACATACAACGGTACCCCCCGATATTCGATATTTTGACGATTTTAAGGACATTACTCACCGGAGTTAGTAGTAGCTACATTATTTTATTTTTTTTTTTTTAATTTTCGTATTTGCTGGTCTTCGCATAGACTATATTGAGGATTTTTAACGGATTTTATTTTTTTAATGTCCAAATTAGTTTCAAAAGGTTGAAAGGTAATCCGGTCCGGCTGAACTTACTGCATATTTACTTGTTGCTGTTTTTAAGGTAAATTATTTTCTGTATTTGTAAGGTAAATTAGTTTTGTGAGTGAAGGAGTGGACCGAACTCCGAACACGAAATAAGTTTGGTAAAAATATTAAGATGTGCTAAATATTAAGATTTGAAACGGATGTTATTTAAAGATACCCAGGGGATAGAGTCATTACTCCGATGAGGCGGCACATTTTGGTCGAATCAAGTAATGTATACACTCTATATCCGTAAGGCTACCTTTAGAAGAGCTTAAAAAGGTCTGTATATATCGAATAAAAATACCTGAGGAAAATGCCTATCTTCTAACTTTAGAAGACCCGAAGAAGGTCTTCTGAAGTTATGTGGATTAGTTTTTAAGCCCTACACCACATAGTGGTAATTTTACTTTACATCACATATTGATAAAGGTATTATGTCTTTGTGCATTTGTTGGAAACATAAAGAGGAAACAGAGATATGTTCCTAGTTACTTTTGAGGAAATTTTCCACACACCATTTGCCTAAGGACGAACCTTTTATACCCTACACCACAAGGTGGTCAGGGTATTATGTCTTTGTGCATTTGCTTGTAACAGGCAAAAGGAAACGAGATAGACCCATAGTTCCTTTTGATGATCTGCATAGAATCACTTTCTGAGTTGATTTATGCATGTCAGTCCGTCTGTATTCTTGTGAACAAAATGCAGGTCGCATTTATTATC